ATCGAACTCAGGACCTCACACTTGGGAGGCAGGTGTGGTGCCACTGAGGTAATTCCCCGGCCCTTTTATTTATTTATTTTAAATTTCATTTATTTATTTTTGGTACCAGGGATAGAACTCAGGACCTTGTGCTTTCGAACCAGGGGGTGGAACCACTGAGCTAAATCCCTGGCCCTTGGCCCTTTTATTTTTAATTTTGAGAAAGGGTCTCACTGAGCTGCCCAGACTGGGCTCAAATGCAATCCTCCTGTCTCATCTTCCCAGCATGCTATGATGACAGGTATGCAATACCGTGGCTGGTTAGAGTTTTGGATTTCAGAATGAGGAGAGTGTATTAATAAGTAAAGTGATTAACAATTAGATATTCACTCTAGAAAGATCACTCTAGCCTTAGTGTAAGAGGTTAAGTTGAAAGGAGTGCAGAGCAAGCAGCAGCAAGTTCATAGGCAATGGCAGAATTCCAGTGGTGAGACCACAAGGGCATGGGTCGCGGGAAGACAGTGAGGTTGGACAGGGGCCACTGCACTTCTCTGAAAGGAGGAAGGTTGTGGATGGTAACAAGTAATTTCAAGTGCCAAATGCCTTTCATAAATAATAGGAACACATCCCCGTACCAAAAAATAAATAAATAAATAACAGGATCAAATGAAAGCGTGAAGCACTAGGCTTTGTTTTTCAAAATGAGGCCCATGACCTAGTAGGGCCAGACTGACCCAGGAGCTCTTGAGCAATGCCCCACCCTGGAGAGAGTGACACCACTTACTCCATTTCTACCCCAAGCTATGAAGGGTTACCTGTGGCAGCATTCTTCTGCTGGAACTTGGTTAGATACATGTTCATTCCTTTCTTAAAGTCCTGAGAAAGCACAATTGTTAAATTTAGAGAGTTAGACCTCAGAATTTATATAGTATATGTGCCTATTACCAATCAAAAGCAAATGTACTCAAATACTCAAGAATCAGACACACTGAAAAAGATATTGCTCTGACGTTCACTGCCTTTTGCTTAAGAATGGATACTCTCTGCTTTCTACTCTTGCTTTTTTTTTTTTTTCCAGTACCAGAGATCGAACTCAGGACATTATGCTTGCAAGGCAGGTGTGGCACCACTGAGCTAAATCCCTGGCCCTCTACTTTTGCTTTTAACCCCTAACCTGGTAGTGAGGATTGAACCCAGGGCCTTCACACTGAGCTATCACCTCCCATCCATCCATCCATCCATCCATCCATATACCTATCTATTTATTGGTGTTTTGAGACAGGGTCGTGCTATGTATTCCAGTCTGGAATTGAACCCACTACAGCATGTAGTTCAGGTCTCCCCTGAACTCAAAGGGATTCTCTTGCCTCAGCCTCCTGAGTGCTGGGATTATAGTGGTGCACTACCATGCCCAGTCTTTTTGTTCTTAAGTTTTAGAACACCTTCCCAGTCCTACTTCAAACATACTTGTACATCATTATTCTAAGAGATCAATACTCAATATTAAAAGAAATGGAGATAACCAAAACATTATCTAGGAATTTAATTTTTAAAACATTTTATTCATAGAAAAGTCTATGATTTCACTATAAAAGAAGGAAAGATTTTTAAAAATTGCTCTTTTACCTTATCCCCGATGTAGTCATGTAGCATTCGGATGACAGATGCCCCTTTGCTGTATGATATAGCATCAAATATCTCATCAACCTCAGATGGATGGCCCACACTGACCTGGCAGACAGTGGGATTCAGGGTTAGGAATCAGGAAAGCAGACAGCCTATAATACTGAATTATATAAAACACGTCCTAGGAAAACCCTTCTAACTCAAGAGATGTTTTTCTGCCTTTAACTCATAATGTGTGCAATAATCCTCAAAAGGGTGTAGTGACTAATCTTAACCACATGGGATGCACACGGTGCCCCTTGGTCACTTCTCAAGAGCCTTGGTTCTTGTTCCTGACTGCTCTGCCTGCCAGGAGCAGTTGCTGCACTGCTCTGTATGTGGGGGTGGGTAGGGGTGGAGCAGGGACAAAGAAGAAAAATACTGATTTCTAGCTCTAATTTGGGTTTAAAATGATATAGGGCCCCTAGTTAAATATGTCAAGGTAGGATTATAACTCTACTTCTTTGAATGTTACATTTACACATATAAACTAATGAAAGTAAGGATAAGCTAAATCAAGAGAGTTTAAATATATACAAAAAAAGGCAAAGAAAATAATAAAATGTCTAGAATTTTCGTTCAAACAAACAATAGAATCATAGTGTTACTCAATATATGTGGTTTCTCCTATACTAGTCATAAAAAAGTATATACAGCATCTGCATCTACAAAGGCTACATGTTATTTTGCCTACCACCAAAAAAAACATTAATTAGAACTTAATCTTGTTAGGTTTTTAGGACTGGAACAGTAAAGTATAAAAACAAGTGAAGTCATTCATGCATTTTCTCTTCATCTCAGAACCCTAAGCGTCTCTGTAACAATTGTTTCCCTGAGAAGAACAGAGACAGTGGTTGGAAAGCACAGCTCACTTCAATAGGATGGCTGTTATCTAGGGCGTCCAGCTCCTGGGCACGGGTGTAATCGGCAGAAACAAACTGAGTCCAGATATCGTACTCTGGAAAGCAGTGGTCTACACACAGATACTCAATCCAGGAGGCAAAGCCTTCATTTAACCAAAGATGAGTCCACCATTCCTAAAAACAAAAGAGGCAAACAGGTGCAAAACCAAAATGATTGTTATTCCACTAATTTAAAAATACGTCACCTTCTAATACACCCCAAAACTTACAATTTAATGAACTAAAATTCAATTGAAAACATTTAGTAAAGAACTTGTATTTGTGGGAGCAGGGAGGGGAGAGGGAAGCATACAAGAGATATTAAGAAAGGTCAGTTAGTGATATCGAAATCATGCGTAAGGGACATTTTCAAAATATTGCTGACTTGGGGCCGGGGATTTAGCTCAGTGGTTTCGCTGCCTGCTGCACAACCGCAAGGATCCGAGTTCGATCCCCAGTACAAAAAAAAAAAAAAGATATTGCTGAATAACTTCTTACTACCAAAGGTAGAAGGAGGAAGAGGCATATATGGAAAAGAAAATATCATTATATAAAATGTCATTACATAATATTTCATAAATAATGAAAATATCATTTTATAAAATTTAGTTTGTCAGCGGGGCATGGTGGCACATGCCTGTGATCCCAGTACTCAGGAGGCTGAGGTAGGAAAATTGCTGCAAAGTTCGAGGCCAGCCTGAACTACATTTCAAGACACTGTCTCAAATAACAAACAAACAAACAAAAACCCATAAAATTTAGTTTAGTAAGGGATTTATCTTCATAAAATTACACCAGAAAGTTATTCAAGCTAAAGAAGGAAAACTAGAAACTATTTCCACAATGACTGATTTATGAGTTAAGCTTTCTACAGAAATAGAAAAATAGTGTACTGCTATAATAGGATTATATAGAATTAACAAAGATATCCTGGAAACAGTTCAATAATGAATAGTGTTTCAGCAATATAAAAAGTTCACTTGTTAATAAGACTATGCAGTCAGTGTAATGGACAAAGAATTACATGGGTGACATAAAAAATATTTAAAAGATCAACCTTGTAGAAAGATGTCTTAATCTAATTTCCATTAAAGTTGATTAAATCTCTTAGTAAAGGAAAGCAATGTAGGAATCCAAGACAGACGCCAAGAGACTAATAGTGAAAAGCAAGTGTTCTGAAATCCTGAGATCAAATACTTTAGTCATTAAGTGCTAAGTGGCAACTTGTCTGTCTCCCGCTAGTTAACTGCACCTTTACTAAGAAAACCTGGCACAAAGTTATTCTTCAACCTATCTCTTAGCCCTTGGAATTTCAATTTATGAAACAATTAGATAATAACATGTATTTACTCTACTAAAATTTATTGTTGTTAGTTACAAAATAAAATCATAAGGTCTTCTCAAAGCTGAGCAAAAAAATTTTGTAGGAAGTAGTAAACTTGCTGCATTAGCAGAAAAGACCATTTCCTACATATATGAATACAGGCACTAACACATGTAACCCCATGTCAAACTATATTAAAACTATTATTATTATTATTATTA